GGAGACCCCGGACGCTCTGCGGTCCCCAGGTGTCCCACCTGGACTTGAATATGCCCCCTCCTCCCACAATCCTGGGCCCTATCCACGTGCAGACCAAACTTTCTCTCATCCCCTGATTCCTGGGGCACACCTCCACCCTGAGACACGTGCCCTCAGGCCCATCCCTGGGCCCCAGGTAAAGGGCACGTCCAGTTGCCAACTCGCAATCTTGCCAGTGAGCAGTGTGGATGAAGTGTGCTCCTTTCTGCCTTACAGGTTGATGGGAGCATTCATTGAATTAACGTAAGACAGAAGGCTTAATTAGCACAGTGCCTTATTTAGCACAGCACATAGCTGGCCCCGATGGTGTTTATTCCTCTCACAAGCAGCACCGAAATAAACGTCTTGTTCTGCCCTGAGATCACTTACATGGCTGGGGAGATTCGGAGGGTCAAGGACCAACTAAATCCTGTGAGCTGTTCTCCCAGCTCCTCCACATGCTGACTACCAGGCATATGTCCAACAGCAGGACAGGAAATGAGCTCTTTAAAAGTTTTTATTTGTTTTTCATTTTTGATGTTGAGACAATCCGTAGCAAGACAAATTATTTCAACAGTTTCTCCATGGAAATTTCAGGGACATTGATTATATTCTTGAGTTGAACAACCATTGTCACCCCCATGCAAGTTGTTCTTTCCCATTAACATAAACTCACTGCCCCCCTACGGTTTGTCTGCCCTTGGGAGTGGCTGTGGTCACTTTGATGTCCTCGTTTTGTTGTGAGAGGCCATCAGGTTGGTTCGACTCAGCGACCCTGTGTACAACAGAAGGCAACACTGCAAGGCCCTGCGCCATCCTCACAATTGTTCCGACGCCTGAGCCCGCTGTTGCAGCCACAGCATCTATCTGTCTTGGCCAGGACCTTCCTCATTTTTTGCTGCCTCGCCACTATAACAAGCATGAAGTCCTTCTCCAAGGACTGGTCTCTCGACAATATGTCCAGAGTGCATGAGACATACATAAGTCTCACCATCCTTGCCTCTAAAGAGCATTCTGGCCGTACTTCTTCCAAGACGGATTTCTTTGTTCTTGTAGCAGTCCGTGGTACTTTATATATTCTTCGCCAGCACCTTAATTCAAACTAACTGATTATTCTTCTGTCTTCCTTAGTCAGTTCCCAACTTTCACATGCATATGAGGTGACCTTAGTCATTAGAGTAAGCTCCTTGCTTTTCAACACTTTAAAGAAATCTTGTGCAG